TATATATAAAACTAATAATAATAATAATTTACGTAACACCAATTCAAATAATCCTGGTATAGACTATATAATGAAATCTTTGATATTTTATCAGAAGAGTTTTTCAGTCAAAATATCATCACTAATTTTTTATGAGAAAAATATTTATAATATTTAAAAAGGAATATAGTATATAAAAAATTAATTAATTTTATATTCAATTGTTTTAAACGTTTTCAAAATTTGAGTCCGATATTTAATTAAAAATAAACATGTGTTCAGGTGATCCTACTCTTTTAAAAAACAACAAAAAATGTGTATTTCAGGGGAACTCAAATTTCAACGTAGCCAAGTTTTTTATTGAATAATTATTTAAAAAAAAACAACAAAAAATGGGATGTAATAAAATTAATGATAAAATCCCAACCAAAATTTCTCATTTTTATCATTTTCAATTGTTCGACCGAATGCTGCATAAATAAGTTGTTCAAAAAAAAAAAAAAAACAATTGAATGATTAATTTGTACATATTAATGCTTCAAATGATCTATACGTAACGTAATAATCCCAAAATTTTGACATCTTTTTCACTCAAATTGTATCTTGAGGTTTATTTAACTTATGTATATATATTATATATATATATTGTGATGATTAAACGGATGGACGGTGCTGCTGCTGCGTCAGCTTTTGATAGGGGCAGTAATTAGGCACAAGGCATCAATCGTGATCACTAATAACTCGGCCAGAAGTCTACACAATACGACCTAGGCGCGACGCAAGCGGTACAAATATCAGCCGACGTAAACTATAAAGAAAAAAAACTTTATTCAATTTATAGCTTATTAAAAAATTATGGCGCAGAAATTGTTTTGAGATATGATTTTGTTTATTTCACACAACGGTGCAAGTGTTGCGAGACAATTGTTAATGATAAAAAGACTTGTTTGTCCCTGTCTGTTGTGCTTTTTGGAACTGAATTAAATTTGGCAAAAAAAAAATAGTTCAAATATTACAATTATAAATTTTCAAGCACCCTCTTCCATCTGTTTTTCAAATTCACACTCAATGATAATGATAAACCCGCAGTCCATATTTTTCATTTTTATGAAATGTACAATGGTTCGGTCCTGATGACTTTTTCGAACTCTTTTCCTAATCTTATTCAGAAGTAGGATATCAGAGACCAAAAGCAAATACCGGAGGTAAATCCTCCTGTAAATGTAAAGTAAGAGCATTCATAACTAAAGCAAAAAATTTTGGGCTTAAAGTTGATCCCTGTTGTAATCCAATAAAGTAGAAAAATTGTCGATCCTAATTGTTAAACCTTAAACCCTAAACTTATTTTTTAAAAAAATATTTGAAAATAAAAAAGTAAATGAAAAAGTGTTGCCTTCCATGATAGTTCCGAGTAAGGGAAGAATGGAAGGAGGATAAAAATCAGAGTTTCCGATCACTGTAAGTTGTGATCCCATTGTTGGGTTTCCAACCAGCTTCTAACAACTGTATTGCGAGGGTTCGTCGACAAAGGCTTTTGTTTTGGACAAAACATAGATGAGTTGGATGGAAATGAGAGGGTTTTGGGGAGAGGAGAGGGCTTTGGAGGAAAATGAGAGGGCTTCGGGGTAGAGAGGAACGAGGAAAGAAAATTAGGATAGGAGGGGGAAGGCTTTGATTTTAACTGTATAATAAATTATTTTCGACAGCTTATATTCACGACTTCAAATTCGTTGGTTCTTAATATTATTACCAGCTATAATTCCAATTGCTTATTATAAAAACACATATTTTAATACCCCAACAGATGATAGTTCAAAGATATTCGACGAAAAAGGACTGTCGGTTAATATATGTTTCTAACTGACGACTTATTATGGCGACAATAAAAAATACCGTTGACAAAAATATTGCTGTTAATAAGCGACAAAAATTCTATACTTATGTTGTCCAAATAATCTAAACATAAGCTGTAGCTACAAAGTCGGTAATTTACATTATCACCGACAGATAACACATTTAATTATTAAAAAAATCATGTTGATTAGCACCATACCAAATGACATGTTCATGAATAATCAACTCAATATAACCGTCTGCTAACATTTGCGTTTAAACGACGACATAAGATGGCGGTAATGATTTAAATCGTCGAAAAATTTTACTATTTATAAGCGATGACATGTCCTGTTGTTTAGCCGTCACAAATAACCCATATCATAAATCGTCGCTACACCGTCCGAAAATAAAATGTTTTTTGTGACACAAAGGCAAACCGTTAGTTTTAGCACTTTTTTTCTATGGTGTTAAAATGAGACCTATCAAGACATTGAAACGATTATTTTTTTATTTGTTGTTTGTCCATGTTCCTTTTATGTGCTTGAAAAGGCATAACCAATGGGAAATTATCATAGTGGCTACAACTTTCTTTAAGTTTTTGTACATATTGGATTACTAATGGACAAATTTTAAAAGATTCTTGTTATTGGCTACATAAATTACGACTTACTATTTATTATTGAAACGAAATAACAAAATCTTTAATGAACAAAGTATTTCTTTTGATACTATTATTGAGAAAATTCATTTTTTAATCGCATGCAAAAAAAAAAAAAAAAGGTGAGAATTCAAAGTGAAGTTGTCTGATAATCAACATGTCATTTATTTTAAGTAATATGGCAATGATCATGCCACTTATCTTTTATTACATTTTTATTTTACTTGTTTTGGCTTGTAATAATGGTTTCATTTTTTGGGTAGCTTCGAATTATAATTCATTTTTATGATTTTCAGCTTCCATGGTACTTGATGGCTGGAAAGTTGAGATGATATCTTGTTATGGTAAGATTTACCATATACTTGCATTGCGTTTAGCCTTATTCAATGCTTCCATTTTGTTTTACCTTGTTGCTCCCCTTTCACTTTGGGATGGTAATGTTATTGATGCTTACAAAATTTCTTGTTAATGGTTATAGTCTCTCTTGGTTGGATACTATTACTAATTATTTTCTAGCTCATATTCCAATCAATATTTTGTTGACTAGTTGGATGAGTGGACGCTACATGATTTTCGTGAGCTTGTTTGAAATGATTTGTATGCTTAATTTTGATAATTATACAAAAATATATCAATTTATTTTGCTGTATTATAAATTTTTGGTTGAGCAATGTTGAGTGCTCATTCTTATGTTGTTTGTATATCCTTCTTAATGTGGATGTTCGATTGAGACTCTTCCTAATTCTAAATGGAACCTTATCATAATTGTTCATTTGAATTTTTTTAACATTTTTTTAGCTCAACAACATTGTCTATAATTTTTTTTTATTTTAATGGATATTTTAGTTTTTTTTATTTACTTTTTGGGAATTTATATGCTTGTGTCCTAAAATTTTTCTTCCTAATTGGTTGCAAGTTTTGACTTAATGAAATTGGTAAAGTAATGCCAATTAACTTTTCAAAAAAAGGGCCCATTGATGGACAACAATACATTTAGCTATCACATGTTTATAAAGATGTAAAAGGGCTCCACTGGCTATCATAAATCATCAAGGATAAATGTAAAGTTGAATTTTGTTAGGGAAGCCATATTAACCAAACATGTCTCTCAAAAACTTGTTATTTTGGGGGTTTACCCTTTATCATGACACTGGATTAGCTAGAATTGAGTAATAAAAAAAAGGCATTATACCTAGCTAATTAATCGAAGTTTTAGATAAAATTGTTAAAATGATTATTTTTTTTGTCATTATGATAATTTAACTTAAATAAATATTTGATAAATTAATTAATAACTAGCAATTTTTATTTCATATTTTTTGATAATATAATATAGTAATTAATTATTTATAAGAGGAAATTATTATGTGTAGATAGTGGAATCGTGTGTGTGTCAGGTAGGAGTGTACTTGAGTCAAATTGACTCGTAAAACCAACTTAGGCTTGCCTTTATAAATAGATAATAACTAAGCTCGATGGACTAATAAACCAATTTTGAGTAAACCTGAACTTCTCTTTTAACTTGTGAGTCAACTCTTTTAAGAAATATTAATACCTACTTGGCTCATAAATTGTAAGTCAACTCTTTTAAGAATTATTAATATTAATTTAACTTAAAATATATTAAAATAGTTTTTTATTGCCTCTCCACTTTTCGTCCTTATTATTATTTTATTACGGACTTTTTTTATCAGAATTATTTTATATTTTTACAATAAATGAATTAGCATATAAGATAATCAATATAAAGTTGAATTAAATTTAGACTTAAATTACACTTTGATTAATTAATCAAAGTTAGAAATTCAACCTAAGGTGGCAAGGCGCAACCTGCGGAGTATAAAATTGTGTATGGTTAGTGTAATGATGTGTGCCTTACGTAGTTCCGCATAATCTCTTCCTCGTTGGAACAGAGCGATTCACCGTCTTCCATCACGGGCGTCGAGCGCCCAGAAGAATGGAACTGGCCCTCATTCTTGCGGATTTATCCACAATGGAGATGCTCCAAATCGAAATCTCGATCATTATGGCCCTTTTCGTCTCCAATATTCCCAGCAGCCTGCTCCAATCTATTAGTTGCCGTTATCTGTTGCAAAGATCGATCCAGGGAGGACTCTGAGAGAAGAGACGAAGGGCTCGCCTATCTCTTTGCTTTCTTTTCCTTCAATTTGCCGTCTATGTTTCTTCTTTCCAGCTTGCACTTTAGGCTTTTAAAGATCCTCGTCCTACAGCTTTATCTTCTTCGGACCGCTGCTTACAGCTCCGTGTCAGGGCTTTACGGTTTTGATTATAGGGTCTTGCTTGGTACGTACTCTTTCTTGCTTTCTTTTCGTGTGGGTCGTATTCATGGACATCGAGCCGGTAAAGAGATACGGAAACAAGAGGGTTAACCATAGAAGAGGGTCTTCACAAGCGGCGCCAGACCGCACAAGCAACAAGGTCTGCTACCATTGGAGGGCAGGGAGGTGCAGTCGTTTCCGTTGTCCATATCGTCACAGCGAGCTACCGCAGCCTCCTGATGGCGCCATCTCCAACAGGTCGGCTTTCAACGAAAATAGAGGATTCCATTCCCAGGGGCTCGTTTGGAGAAACTCCAAAAGCTACAACGCCAGCATCAACCAGGGTCCTAGTTCAAGGTGGGGCAAAGATCACCCAGGAGAGGTCTCTGGCATCTCCAAGCCGCTTCTTAAATTTCACGATAAGATCTGCAACCATTTTATAGCGGGGACTTGTTCATATGGGGAGAACTGTAGATTTCTGCATTCATGGTTTGTCAGCGATAGCATCTCTCTCTTGACTCCTCTTACGGGGCACCAAAAGGTAGTTTTAGTCACCATGTTTCATAAATTTTAGCACAATTCGTGTCATTTGTTCTGGCTTGTTGGCTTAAAAGCTTCAACTGGTGTCCGGGTTCATATTCGTCGGGATGTGATTGCAGGGTGTCAGTGGATTTGCTCTTCCTGCTGGGTCTGATAAGCTGTACACAGGAAGCAAAGATGAGTCTGTCCGGCTATGGGATTGCGAGACAGGGCAGGTGCTTCTCGGTTTGCCATTCATTATCCTCTGTATAGTGGAATCAGAAGATTACCAAACCTGTTTTTTGATAGTGTGCTGGGCTGATTAACTTGGGAGGTGAAGTTGGCTGCATGATTGATGAAGGCCCATGGATATTTGTAGGGATTCCTAATTCTATTAAGGTTAGGTTATATAAATAATTCCATGGGAAACCAGTTGATGTTTGTATTGGTATTTTTATTTTTGTACTGCAAGTATAATTATTAATCTATTGATTACATTCTTGTTGGCTGATATCATAGGCTTGGAACACACAGAGTGCGACTGATTTAAGCCTTAGTGGACCTACGGGACAAGTTTATGCCATGGCAGTTGGTAACGAGCTGCTATTTGCTGGAATACAGGTTTGCTTTTGTGCGTTCCATGCCTGAGTGTGGATGAATTTTTGGTTTTTTGCAAAAAATTGTTGTAACCAGAGAAAAAAGCCAGCAAGGTTCTGCCTCTTTTTTCTAGGATGGAAGTATTTTGGCATGGAAGTTTATTTGTGTTGAGAACCGCTTTGAACCAGCTGCTTCACTTATTGGTCATCAACTAGCTGTGGTTTCACTTGTTGTGGGAGCAATGAGGCTCTATTCTGGTTCTATGGATCATACTATAAAAGTGAGTGTGCCTGATTATCTCATAATTCGCTTGAACTTTCTTGAAAATGGAAGTAAAAGTTAATTCTACTTGATGTATGCAAATTAAGTGTTTTTTATTTGATATAATGCCCCCAGACATCTTTAAAACTTATATTTTTATAGTAAAGTAATGCATTCAAATAGAGTTATGTTAGAAAGGGATCAATTTTGTTGTCTTATTTTTTTAATGCCTGATTTAGATAAGGAGCATCCTGATTAAGTGCCCTAATCTTTCCTTTAGCCCTTGGAAGGTATTCTTACATGTTCTCTATGTTTGAACTATTCAAATCTGAGGATGACGCATGTTAACAAGATGCACTTTGTCAATATTCCAATGCGGAGTACGCACTTATGAAATGAATCAGAGTGAATATTATGTCCTGTTGCAAGTGCACTTAACTATCATTATGGACATTATTTGATGTAATCTTTTGATATAATTGATTGAGAACTAATTTATGATAAATGCATTCTAGAGTGGCGGTTAAGCACGTTCAGTGTATTCTGAAGGTCTTGGGTTAAGAGTCATGGAACTAGTCCCTCTACAAATGCTGGGGTCGGGCTACATACATCAATCTTTTCTTAAATCTTGCATTAGTGGGAGCTCCATGAATTGGATATGTTCTTTTTAATCAAATTGATATTTTCTATATGCATTAAGGATTCTAATTCAAGTGTCTCCTTATCAAATGCTTTAATTTGCCTTGAATTTGCTTGTATTGATGAATGAGGAGTTGTGTAATTTTCTATTTCATCGAATTGAACTCTATTAAGAGGCCTAAAAAACTTCGCTGAAGTTAGATTACTATTAACACATTTGCCTTCCTAAGAATAACAAAATGAGAATGTTAAGTTTATGTGAGTTGTTTAATTCGGCCTAAAAATAAAAAGAAGTCATTTATATTGATGTCAATTATAAAATATGAATTTGTGATGATAATGAAGAATTAATGACGAAGAAATAAATATTATTTGAAAATTCCTTGTTTTGTTGATATTAGTTGCAGAATGTAATGTGTGGAGGCTGATTGTGTCAAAGCAAAAAATACATCCAATACCTAGACCGGGCTACCAGTGCATGGCTGTGCGATCCAATGCATGGCTGGGTGACCCATCTCCATTGTGGGCAACTCAATGCCCAACAACACTATAGAAATAGAGCACAAGGGAGTCCAGCCGCCTAGGAGAGGCACAATTGTGCTCGGATTGCTCCTGAAACAAAGCATCCAGAAACTCTGCACCAAGGGATGGGTGTTAGGCGCCTGTAACTGAATTTTTTTGTTCGTGCTCTAAGTGCTTGTTTTTTTTTCTTGCGTAGCGTGTGTACAGAGGTGCGAATGCGGGCGAACAAAATAAGCTGTGCGTGAAAAAGATGAAGTGAGTTAAGTGGGTGGATTTCTGCGATATCTCTTATGTGAAAGAGAGATGAGCATTCGTGAGTTCCAAGGATTAGTGAGATTTGAGTGTGTTTTAATATGTACAATTCTCCTCTTTTAATAATAAATTTCTTGGTGTGGTGTGAGTGTGATTTTTTTTACTCAATTTTTTCATATTAAATCTTGGCGCTCTTTACATTTTCTGTGTTTTATTATTTTGTGTGCTTCTGTTCTAACTTTTGCTTTGAATCTCTTGAATTGATTTACGTGGCTTCCTCACAAGTGGCATTAGAGTATGATTTTTTAAAGAACTTTTGGTTCGGGTGGGAGCAATGACTGGCAAAGCGAGATACAAAATGGAGAAATTCAATGGATCGAACCTTACTTTCTGAAAAATGTAAATCGAAGATATGCTGTATAAGAAAAAAGGTATTTTCTACTAGAAGGAACCACCAAGAAGCCTAAAGGTCCTTTAGGGACTGTTGCAGACTGCTCAAAAAGTTGTGTTGATTATTACAAATTTAGGCCCCGTTTGAGGCAACTTATTTGTTGTGGTTGCGTTTTGAAAATGCAGGCGTGCCTTTTGTTTGGTGCTTTCGCTTAGCTTATCCAAATAAGCGGTCTGGGATTATTAATAAATGTTGTTGAGGGCCCGCCGCGTTCTTTCCTCCGCTTACTACCCGGATGCCCTTAGTTCCTCCTTGCTCAACCCCCAAGCGTGCTTTCTGCCCTAGGTAATTCCTTGCTCGCCTCTCTCCCTCGATTGCTCCTCTCTCGCGATCAGTGTTGTCTTTTACCTCTTCCTCCTCCGATCTTTGGTTAATGTGCTTTGTAAGTAATTTTTGATGGAATGTCTTTGTATAAGCGATTTCTGACTATTTTTTGATGGAATAGTATTCTCCATGCTATTTTTCGATGGAATGGCTTTTTTTTATGCAGTTTTTTGTTTTTTTAATGGAACTTGGAGAATGGGCAAACTTCTGTGCTTGATTTGAAGATAACAAGTTTTCAACTGCTCATTTGAAAATGGTGCTCATTCTTAGATGGCAAGTTTTCGGGTGCTCTGTATGTTATTGCCTCAAATGAAAATAATTGGATGGGCTTTCATCAATTCATTTGATGTTTGTGTGACAATTTGAAAATTGGATGTAAAATAATGTTTGGTTTGTTCGTAGACTTTTATCGGGTGGCCTGTTTGCAGTTGCATCTATTCAATATTTTTTCTCTTATGCTTCAGTTATGAATTGAAAAATGAATGAAAGAGGATGCTTTATTTGTTGATGACAATGTTTCGGGTGGCTGTATGTAATTGCATTGCACCAATCTTGATTGTTGGACACAAGGGATTGTTCGGTTTTCATGGTAGCAATCTTGATTGAGCATGTAGAATTTTGAAGTGTTGGCTCCATTTTTATTTATACGGTGGTGAAACTTTAGCATTATATGGTAGCCAACTCTTATCTTATTGGCGGACATTTAGAACTTTTCCTTTAGATTTTGCTTTTGGCGATGAAGTTTGAATTGAGTGGTGGTTGCTTGCATTCTATTTTAACTAGGGATTCTTTCCATCTTTATAGTAGAATTCTATGACACCCTTCTTTGTGGCTATTATAAGTTGTAGTTTGGTGGCTTGGCTGCCTATCTAGATTCTGTGAATTTCTAATGCATGCACAAACATTTTTTGGCTCCTAAGAAGGTTTGTGGACTTTGACACATAATTTGGTAGCTAACATTTTCTGGCTCCTAAAACTTGGTATGAATAAACTTTTTATTTCTATTTTTTAATCTTGAGTGTAAATTGGAAGTGTGATATCTTTTGCATATGGTATAGTTATGACTAACTAGTTTTGGTGAAAGTCGTCTTTTTGTACCAGCCTAGATGAGGTGGATTTTATAAATAAATATTTTGAGGGACGAAATTAAGAATTTTAGCCAGATAAAATTTCTCTTGTTTCAATCTCGTGAGTGCAAGTTGCATATGTGATTCCTTTGAGTGTTCTATAAATGTGGCTACTTGATTTTGATGGAAGTCATCTTCTGTTACTGAAGTGAGGTTTGAATTTTCTTATTTGATACATTCACTTTTCATTCTTATTTCACCTTCAGTTTGTGTTGTTAAAATACAATTGTTCATTGATTTTGAATTCAAATATGTTTTGTGGGTGGTGGATTTGTTGGGGGATGGGTGGTGGCTACAATGGCGCTCAAAAACTATATTCGACGACATCATTCTCAAACGAATGTAGACTTCACCATGACCGACGATGATCAGATACAAGTCCCGCCAGAAGCATTTGAATTTCACGTAGCGCAATATATATCACAGTCAGAGGCAGAGTCACAGAAAGGGTGCAACCAGGATGACAAATGTATCTCAAAAATGGTTGAGTTGCGAGAGCAGAACACAGACGCTATTGTTGGATGTTGATTAGAAAATTATGATTTATTTTATAAATTCCATATTTATTTTATGTTCCTTGTATTATTGATATTTTAAATATTATTAGTTTTATGCTAAGTGTAATTGTTTTTTCTCCTTTTGCGATTGTTGTTCTTGTTTTTTTTTCTTTTGTGGGTTTGTGGGGTCTATGTGAGACGTTCGACCTTGTGGATTCTTCTGGATGGTCTGTTACTCACTGTTAGTTGGTGTCATATGTGAAATCTCGATAAAGACAACCAAATCTCTCTTTTCTTTTGGTTGTTGCGGTTTTTAAAGTACTTCTGGATGACCTTTTTCTGGTGATATGCATATGTGATATATAAAAGTTTGATATTACGTGAGCTAAAGACAATTATGAACCTCTGTTTTATAAGATTTGCTGCCTTCTTCTAGTGACATTATGGATAAGGTTGGTGTACTGAGTTCTCTGAGACCTCATGCCTGCACAAAACTATAATTGATTACTGTTTTGTCACAATTTATATGTGTTTTTTTATGGGACACTTCTTGTTTATTTTATTCAGATCATTTTTTTTTATTTTTCGTTCCTTGTAATTTTAATATTATTTTTTATTCCTTTATATCATACAGGTCAAGATTGATATTTTTGATTTTGAATTTTTTCACGCTGGTTGTAGTAGTTAATTTTCTTTTTTTATTTCATTCATTTTTTGTGTGAGTTTGTGTGGTTCATGATGAGACGTTAGACCTTGTGAGTTCTTCTGAATGACTTGTTAGTCGTTGGATGATTGTTATCACATGTAAAATTTTGATGAGGGCAATCAAGTACCTCTTTTCTTTTCGATGCAGTGTTTTTTGAGGTACTTACGAATAATACTTTTTTGTGATATAAATATGTGACACACACAAATTTGGTATTACGTGGGTTGAATGTAACCAAAAACCCCTATTTTGTAAGGTCTTCTTGTAGTGACAGATTTGTTGATTAGTGTACTAAGTTATATAAGATCTCGCACTCGTACAAAACTGTAATTGATTACTGTTTTTATCAATCTATACTTCTATTATCACTAATACATTGTCTTTTGGAGCATTCAGGAAAGACAAACTCTAGGATTTCAAGGACCTCCCGATGATTGCTTTGTGTCTGTGGACTTCAGACTTCTTTTTTGACGTCACGTCAGCCACATAGCTATGAGAGAT